AGGGAATTGCAAATGAAATGAAATCAAACCTCACCTGATCTCTGGCAGTCTATATGTTGCATCTGCATGCGGTCCATGCTTGGCCCCGGTTCCTGCAGCTCTTCCTTGTCCAGATCCCAGTCAAGGTCTAGACCTCCAGAGCAGTGCAGAACCTCACCGACCAGCGGACCACCCTGGGCATCACACACCTTCCTATATGCCATTATCTTACCTGAAACACACATGCAAATAATTGAAACTGATTTTATTTTCTATAATAACACGTTTCGAATGAATAAGAAATGTTTCTGATGCTATAAAAAAAATACAATTGTTTCATGAAGGAAACATTAAAATCCTCGTACAACCCTGGGTGCAAATGTTTCCATGTTATTTGTTATTGAGATCACAGGACTTTCATTCTTTTGCCTTTTCTTATATTTAATACCACTATGAATGTGAGCTATAAATCACTTGCTTCAGCTGAAATAGAGCATAATAGATCACCCTTCCTTAAAAGCATCATCTCCTCTCATTATCTGAAAGTAAAAATAAAAAGGGAAAAACATATATAATGGTTGCAACAACTTTTAATGACCAACAAAGTAAGCAGATCCTTAGAGCAGTCCATTTTAGACAATGATAGCATATTGCATATGTTGACATATGCAGTGTCTACTGAGACTTATTTGGAAGTAAGCCAGGCAGTGTGCAATGAAAGTCCACCAACTGGGTCGGATTAAAACTGCCTCATTTGACTTAAGGTAATGGATGCTACATTCGTGTGGGACAAAGAATAAAATTTGATAAATGTGGTTAAAAGCTGCTTGGGTTAAGTGACTGACCAGAGCCTCTCAGCACACAATTATGAAGAGTAAAAGCACCACAGGGGGCTGCGATTCATTTATACACATTAAAATGACAGAGAGAAGACCAGTTACAAGCTGTTAAGGCAAGTTAAGTAGTGGATCTAAGTAAATGTAAGTGTGGGTGTGTGTGTGTGTGTGCAAGTTTGTGTTTGTGCATGCAGAATTTGTCGAGACTGTAGGATAGTATACGTGTTGGTTGTGTTTTGGCCAGTAAACCCAACTCTGGGTTCAATACAGCTCCTTAACAGCATCATTAAATCTCAGTGTGGCTGGTATCACGTCCATGCATTGACTGCGTGTCTGTTTGTGTATGTGTCTGTGTTATCTGAGTGAAGATCAGGTTTATAAAATCTCCCAGCTAGTGTCTCAGCATGTCATCAAGTTTAACAGTGCTTTTTATAAGCTATTCCATCAAAGTCCACCATGAATGGGCAAATGAACTGCCCAATCAATAACCGCTTGTGGTAGGATAAAAAAAAACAAAATAAGAGAGAGAGAGAGAGAGAGAGAGAGAGAGAGAGAGAGAGAGAGAGAAATAAAGAACAGCATCAGACTGGCTGTTAAACTTACTGGCCCTTATTCTGTGTACATTGACCAGTTCATACTTGGCAGTTTATTCAATGCTAACTGGTTCAAAGAAAAACGAAAGACGAAAGGACACAAAAAGAAAATCATGTTGACATCAAAGTCAGTGATGCAGGTTTGAAGTAGCAAGTAAATTGGTTACGAATAAGTTACAAGTCTTCTCATTACTACAGTCATTCTTTGTGTAATTGTACTTATCTTAAGCCTTTTTATACTGTAATGTTACTTGTCCTTAAGTATTCCTTACACTAGGCCATTAAATTTGAAAATTATTATTAGCAATTGAATGGGCTTACAATTGTGGTTACTTTAACCCCCTTTCAAGAGTTGCTCCAGACAAACATTGGGTGTGGATGTGTCCCAGAAGGGCTTCCCCACTCAGCGTTGCTAAACAGTGATGCTGGACCTCTTTCTGTACACAATTTTATCAAGCTGAAGAGAATAAATAAAAAGGGGCATGAAGTCGGAGTCGGGAAAAAAAAAGGAAAAAATCATAAATCAAACATCAGAAATATACCCGGTGTGAGTTAAAGCCATGCTAAGGATGCAAGATGCTACTCACAGAGATAAATCCAGATGATGTTTGACTTCATCTTAACAAACATCTCAACAAAAAAAATCTTTTGTATTTATTTTTCAAGTTTTACAATGCAATATACAGATATATACAAGATAAGCCTCTGTGATTGACTGCTATGTTTATCGTCACCAGACATATGACTACATATAATTAGTATAACAGTCAGTATTAACAATGCCAATAATAACTACAAGTAAATCAACAAACATATAAAGAACATAGTATATTTTGTGTTTTTTTTTCCTTTCTTTGTTTGTGATTGTTTCTTTTTATTAGCGGAGGCAATTATTGCACTTACCCTAAATACCAAAATAACAAAAGAACTATAATTGTTGGTTATACTAATGACTGTGATTTTATCGTTTCTAGCTCAGAGGAGCTGTGAATCGATTACAGATCTGAATTGTCCCTGTTTAGACACTGCATTGGTTTCTGTTTTACTGATTACGAAGCGGGATTTAGATAGAGAGGAGACGTGTGAGTGTGACAATTACATGAAGAGTTTTAGAGAAGAGAGAAGACGGATACAGTGAAAATGGTACAAAAGCAGTGGCAGAGATACAAAGAAACATAGTTGAAAACAGGAAGCAAGGAAAGAACAGAGTGTTTATAGATGAATAAGAGAGAGTAAAAAGCAGAGGAAAGAGGTCTGGGAGTTCCTTGGCATCAATCTTCAATGCTCTACCACACTTTCATTACTTCTAGCTCGATGCAGATGAAGGCTCCTCTCAGTAAAATGGAACAAAAGTTCATTTAACTGCTGACCCTCACACACACTGCAGTGGCTTTCACTTGATACCTATCACTGCAGGAGTTATAAGATTCCCACTCTTTTTTATCTCTTTTTTGTACATGTAATTTAACTTGTTGCATTTTTCGTATCGATTTTTCATGTGACATCCACAGATTTTTTAATAAAAAAAGTATATATATATATATATATATATATATATATACACACACACACACAAATTGATGTTGATTGATTGTTGCTGTTCATGTCAATTATTGAGTGATTTTCAACTTTTCCTGCACATCTTAATCCAAAATTGTATTAAACATGGTGTCACTTAATTTAGCATTAATTTGGAAATTTGGTTCGCTCCTCCCAGTATTTTTCTTAAAATTATTTTTTTGATTTACTGAAGGCTTCTTGATTTCTCCAATCCACACAAAGACACATTGTTTTTTTTCTGTTAATTTTATTCTTAGAAATGTGCAATGCGAACCACTGCTGTCTTTAAAGTTCCTGAAAGTTAAAATGAGAAATCCTGACAAACTGTAATACCAATAATTCCTTAAATACACAATATGCCTGTTAATCTATAGTAACCCTTGAATTAAACTGGCATTCTAATTTAATTTCCAATTATCAAAATTAATCAAAAGCAGTTGAATAAAACATGATTACATTAATCACCATTATTCCGGTGGAGTTTTAAGTACACAATCAGAAAACTGTTGGTGTCACACCAGAGTAGCAATCCACAAAAATCTCACTTTAAGTCTAAATCAAGATAATTATTGCTCTTCATCCAACACCCACTCCACTCTTTGTCAGTTCGAGTTAGATGCCGTCTCCCAGCTGTAACCAAAACATCACCACACTTTTTCACTTTTTCAATAAATGATGTAGCGAGGGGACAACTTTTGCCCGTGGGTTTGCCTGAACACGTCACAGAATTTTTAAGGCTCGTTATGCTTTCAGAAGTAAAACAAAATGTTGCTCTTTGAGCTCACGGCTTCATTTCAAAGTGTAACAACATTTGACAGTGCCAGTGTATTGCCATCTGTATGCCTTTTCTGACTTGATCTTAGTTGAGGTGACAGACACAACATTTCAGAGGATGTAGACATAGCAGCTACATTTCTCTAACAAATTAAAAGCATTTGTGCAGTAAAAAGTTCATATAAAATTCAAAGCCGACAGGAAAAGTGCAGCATTCAACTACTGACACTAACTTCATACATTTATCATTTATTTATAATCGTCATTATATCAGACCTTTACATTAAATTGTAGTTTTAGAAACCAACAATAATTTCAGGGATGATCTGCAGTTAAATTGGAGAAAAAAAAATCCAATTAGAGATTGACATTAAGAAAATGTAACTTAGGAAGGATCATAAGCTATGCTTTTTGCTGAGCAATGACTTGAGTGCAATAGCTATGACACATCAGCATTTAAATGGAAAAACTTCTCAAACTCAGTTCTATTCAATGGAATAGTGCTAAAATAAATCTCTGAACGTTTTGCTGGATATATCACTTCTGGTGAATTTGATGCAAGTTTGCAATGTTTAGCTGTACATTACTAGCTGTAGACAAGGTTTATTGTTCTGCTTAAAACTAGGCTAACTTACTTTAAAAGCTGCTGTGACTGACTATCATTAACAAGTTCCTTGGTTACAGTGTTGTGTATAATATCTAGCCCCTCATTTTATTGTTTGTCTTTTCATATTTTAGGAATTTATTTAAAATTTTCACTAGTGCTAGTTTCACTGCTAGTTTCAATTGTGTGTTGTTTATATTATAAAATTTACATTGGTGAAGTAGAAGTAGTAGATGTCTTAGTAGATCGATTTTATAGCAACATATTTAGGCAAATATACTAAGACATAAAAAAACATGTTGAGCAGCCATAGTGAGGGAGAAAACTGCCCAAAACAATTACGTAGTATGTTCAATGAGTCTTAAATGGCTCTATTATGTGCAATTACAATTCAAAGTAGGCTTTTTAATAGCAATCAATTTCAGAGTCAAACCAAGAACAAATTTTGCATAGCAAATGAAACGCCTGATGCAAAAGCTACTCTTTGACCTTCAGAGAGAGCGCTCCATAATCAGACAGATCTGTTGCTTTGAAGAGGTGTAGAACAATAGCACTGGTACGCTGGGACAAAGACCCTCATCAAATTGTTCTTCTGATATGAAATCCTTGCACAGATATTTGTGTAAGATTACTATTTATATAGCAGGACAAATGCAGGCTTGAGGAACAAAGTTGTCATTCATCTTTTGTCTTTCAGCTCTAAGCAGATTGACAGGCCATCTGCTGTATCTGCTACCTTTCACTACTATTCGCCTCTCATTCATAAATTACTGCATCGCCAGTTTGCTCTAGACACAGCTGAATACACTTAGTGTGATCAGGGCAGAGACAAAGAGTGAGAGAGAAAGAAAGAATATTTTCCCAAACACTTCTCCTCACCAATCATTTCAATTGACACAACCTTGTCAGCTGCCGTACTTACAGAGCAGGAAGTATGCTGTCAATCATGGATTTCCTTCTCCCTGCCACAGAGAAGCACAGACCACAAATTATTCATTTTTTTCCCCATAACTCATGCATTAAAAAAACCTCAAAGTTGCCATTCACTGTATACTTTCACATCCACGAATACTGTACAATACACACAAATTATAAAATAATTTCCACCCTGATGCGTGTCCCAGTAGTATTCTAGGTTAATGCAAGAAAGGGTAAGACCACTGGGGACAAATAAGAAGAGCAAACAGCAGTGTAATGGAATAATCAAGCATCTCCATTAAGACTCTGTTCACATTATGTGGTGGTTGGTAGCAAATGAGGTCCTTGCATGAGTGGGAGTGCTCAAATGCAGGCTTATTTGCTAACAGATATATGGGACTGTCAGTATTTAGAAAAAAAATAACAATCTTTTTTTTTTTTTTTGTGGTACGATGGCATTTTACTTCATGCCATGCATTTTTCTTAACTTTGGAAGCATAAGTGAAAAGAGCCTTTAATGTCCCAATGTAAACCTGTTACACTCTAAACTTCTAACAAGGGTTGTATTCAGTTATATTCTCAATTTGCAACATATCCCCATTCTAATGGGTCATCTATTATTTATCCATATCATTGTGGATTTCGTACAGCTTTAAGGTTAAAACTCATGTCACAGCTTGCAAAGCAAAATACAGCAACATCCTTACAAACTCCAGATAATACTGCTGATATAATTTTTCACACTTATGTGACTCAAGGTTAAGGGAGAGAATACTGTTAATATAATTTAATCTGACCATGAATTCTACAAAGTGCATCAGTATAATAAGAAATGAATGCAATATTCAACATTAACCCTCTTCTGCAGAGCATTGGCCTTAGGCAACAGAAATTTTCTTAAGCCAAATGTCTAGTTAATGCTTTTAGAAATGATTAAAACAAAACAAAAATGGTCAAGCAGAGAAGAAGAAAACACTTTTTTGATACTTGTCACAGGAGGACATGGTGTAAGATGAAGGGAAGATTATTTGCCTTAAAAATGTATTAAAATGATATGACATAAACTAAACATAAACATAAATAAAACAATGTGTGTGCATTTGTCTGTGTGTGCGTGCAAGGTCTGTGTAGAGACTGTCCCTTTTAAGTTTTCTTCATTTTGTCTATTTAGAATTGTGTTTTTTCTGCCTTCTCAGGGCAACACTGTTTGGCAATGGTGACTTTTTAAGCATACCCACAAATGTATTTAAATATATTTGCATTTTTATTTACCTCAATGCTTTAAACATTTTGAGTCAAAAATAGGCACGACATTAAGATAGACAACAATGACAGTGAAGGGAGAGAACAGTTTGAGAAGACATGAAAAATAGTATTTTAAAAATTGCCTGTCCAGTTGATATAAAGTAATTTACACATAACTAAATCAAATGTGTAAATAATTTTTTCTGACATATCTATGCCATCCGAGTAGACTTACAGAGCTTAAAGCATACAAAACAGGAGTATATTGCTATGCTGCAGTCAGTCTTGCTGTGTTTTCAGTGTTTTCCTACACACACACACACACACACACACACACACACACACACACGAGAGTAGCTTAGCTGTACCTTGGACAGAGACCTTTGATGTTACACCTCAAATCTGTTGGAGCAACTCTTCCAATTTTTGAGGTTACAACTCCTAATGGTCCTATTACTACTGTGACCACTTTTGACTGGCCCTTCATGCTACCCAAGCTCAACTTGGAACATGAGTATGAGATACATATCTAAAGCCATACTGACTCAGGCAACACCCAGCATTGGCACTAAGCAACCAGGATGTATTAATGAGAAGACTACTGGAACAAGGCATATAAACATCTCTATTTGGTGAGCTGTCATTATGGGGAGGCCCAGGTCACACCAGGTTTACTGTAGGGTTTTTTATATCACGGACTGTCTTATGTTTTGGTACCATATGTGCTAGACTGTATTATACCATATTATTTTCCAGTAGATAACTATACACCTTTTCTTTTAATTTGCAGAGACTTATAAATTCAGAAGTTAGTACCAGCTTCTATCTCCATTTGCCCCCAAGTTGTGGCAAGTGTTGGGGAGATTCTGTAACATTCAAACTGGAAAATACCTTAAGGAATGAAATGACAGTACACCATTATAGATAGTAACAGAAATAGTTAATTACACAATTAGTAAGATGTTTTGCTACTGTTAAAAGACTTTCAGATTCACAGCTATGAGAGGATCCAACGCCAAAACTGATGTGCTACATATAAATTGGAATATGGGCTTGTTAAGAAAGTCTTGAAACTTGGTTTATATTCGATAGGATCTTTCTAAGATTAAGAAGTGTAACTGCTTCTTTTATTTTAGCCAGCTATGCTAGCTTGGTACCACACAAAGTCTAGCCTTCATGTGTCTGTCTTATCTCTGCAGAGTAAAAAAAATCAACATGAAGCATATTGGAATCCATTTAGCAGCACAGCCAAAGGTAGACTTCATTTCTGCATAAAATATATCCTGGGTCTCGCATGCCGGTATCCATCCATAACCACAGCATTAACATCTGCACGGTGCCATGTAGCTGTGAGAGTTTGTTACAGGCTGCAGGGCCATCAGAGAAAAACCTTTATTTTTATAGTGTTCATGAATTAAAGATGGCTTCCCCTGGGGTGTTGGAGGAGAGCAGAGGCTTTATGGATCCCTCACTCTCTCCTCCGCATTAAATCTCCTGAATACCACAGGCCATGTCTCACGATGTTAGACACGGAAAACAATAACAGCCAAACATTCTTATCTGGTAGGGTGTTTTTGTATTTCTTCCTCTCAATACCAGTTTTCTTTCTTGTTTTCTCTCTTGGTTCTCTTGGATGTTGTTATGCTTGCTATATTCCTGACTCTAAAAGTTCAAGCCAGTCCATTAAAAACTGCATTACCCACAAGTCAACAGGTTATGTAGCCCATTACAGCTGAAGGTCAAGTTTTCTTGTTCCGTGGTGGGTGGATTTTGGAAAACAGAAGAGTCAGATATTTAATGGAAAAGTATCGCAGGCAAACACTGAATAACATTTTACATTTCAGATATCAGCAGTCCATCGCTATGTTTTTTGTGATGATCACAAATGTAAAGACTTAATTTAACAACAAAAAAGAAGCAAATGATAAATATTATTCTAAGAATATCTAAAATTTGTCAGCATTGAAATGTGTTTATGTGAGGTTAAATTGCTAGTATTTTGATAGAAAGTGGGAAAGAAGACTATCGAAAAACAGACTAGTGTAAAGCCCTTGTCCAAATTACAGTTAGGTAATGAGTGGAACAGCAATAGAACACTAAGCTTGTCGAGAATGCGATTGAAAATTCTGAAACCAAATGATATTTTAAATAAATTATACTTAAGATCAGAATAAAGATTATTATGTAAATTGATCTAGACTCCACGTTACACTGAGGTTAGAGTCACATACAGATAGGAAGTAAGTATTTTGACATTTACACATTTATTTATTTATTTATTTTAAATATGAAAAAAAAATCTGACTGAAGGAAAAAACATTCAACTTTATCTTAATTGGTTTAAAATGTACTGCATTTCACATGACTGTAATTAAAGGTTTACAACAAGGTGCAAACCACTGGTTGCACACAATAACAGTCAAGATGAGACTTTATCAAAACATCTAAAGCGCATTCCTAGTTATGGAAGTCACATCAAGGTGCTTTATATTGTACAGTAAAGGACTTTCCAATATTAGAAAGAAACCTCAACAATCATATTATGGCATGGGAACATATAGCTGCCATTGGAACTGTGTCACTTGTGTTTATTGATTTGACTGCTGATAAAAGAAGTCAAATCAATAGTATAAACTGAATATAAATATATATTAACTTGAAAATAGATATAAACTGAAGTATGCAGGACTACACTCTATGCTGAGATTCATCCAAATGCTACAAAACTAACTGACAGTGCAAATGTGTAACTGTAACACTTTGCACTGTTTGTTAAACCCTTGAATTAAAGTTAAAAGCTAAAGGTATCCAATTCAGTCATATCTTTGCTGTCCAAAACTGCAAAAACTGTGTTGTTGTTCAAATATTTATGGACCTAGCAGTTTATACTATGGCGGATTCAACTGAGTCTCAGAGAGCAGCCCTTACTGCTACTGACTAATTCTTGATTCTTCTTTAATTCTTTTAAGCTAATACAAAGACGAGCACAGACACTACCAGTTCCAGAGTTCTAAATGTAACAAACATCTGGCACTTGTGATCGCTGTGGGGAGCACTACAGGAGTGAAATGAAATCAACTGCCTGTAAACACCAGAACAGAACACCAGATGAGTTGTAAAGGGACCAAAAGGGGTTCAGTGACTGACATTGGACAACAAACAGTGACAAGGATCTATTGCTCATATACTTGATCTTGCTTTCAGTGTTATATGAGACTATATGAGCAGCAGAAACCTATATTTTGTGGTACATAAAAACATAGAGGCCTTAATTATTTTTTTTTTTACTTTTCACTCCTTTTCTACTCTGAATTGTTATTTACAGACTTTTGAACTCAACTTACCTAATGCACTTATTTCAGCAGCACATTCACATAATGAGAATTCTACAGTCCCTGCTGTATTTTCAGGTGCTCATCACTGGATCCCTGCTCAGCAAGAGAAAACATGGGCAGCATTT